TTATCATGTTCTGGTAAATGTTTTATCCTTGGAGTTCATCATGTAATTCTTTGTTCTGCATGTTGTTGTCTGTTTCAGTCACATACGCTTTGTTCCTGCCTTGGTTTCTGAATGATGAATATAGTCTTTGTTTGTATGACTGAGCTAGTAAACTCTTGTTTATCTTTCCATTCTTCCTTAAGTTTCTGTGGTTCAGTATTTGTCATGTGTTTGGCCATTGCTCCTTTGCCTTCTCCTTGACTAGGGCTGTGATTTCTATTTTGCTTCTGCTTTAATAATCCAACATTGTTCTAAATGATCCATTAACTTCTTCCAAAACTGGGTCCACCAGTGTTATAATTGGAACATGCTTTGTTCACTTCACCATAGGATACACCATGGAGTTGGAACCCCCAGATATGTACTTTCACTGGTGGTCATAGCTAGCCAGAGCTCAGTAGGTTTAGCATATCACCTGAGGTGAGGTTGTGGGGTTTGACATTGTGGTGCATACACATCTGCTTGGAGCCAGTAATGAGAGCTGAGTGAGGCATCCAGACCAACTGTAAGCAAAAACCCCTTCTGGGTGTGACTGTCTACTATGCAGAGACACTGCCTTTCAAATTTACACCTTAGGGTATGTCTAGACTGCAGGGGATGGGGGGAAGGCTGGGATACCTATGGTATCCCAAAAATCTCTGCTGTGTCCAAGGAATGTGATTGGTCTTTTGCTTTTTTTGGAGGGGGGGGGGGCAAAAGAATGGACACACTCTTTTGGAAGCCCTGTCTTCCTTGTTTCATGAGGAAGAAGGTATCTTACAAAAGAGGAGGCTTTTCCAAAGTTTGGCCCAAATTTCAGGCCAGATTTCAAAAAGCCTCTTCCAACAAAGGTATAGGAAAAAGATATGCAAATTGCAGAGTGCAATTTGTGTACCTTTTCCCGAAAAACCATTGTAGTATAGACATATTACTCTCCATCAATTAGCCTGTCAGTACTCCCTAAACATAACAACTGCAGCTATCAGTACTGGAGCAAACTTAATCCATCAGAACAATACCATATAAATGTGCCTACATCTAACCAAAAAGTACTAAGTTTGAATAAATGGTCTCTGAGCACCTAAAGGTTTGTAGCCTTAGTTCCTTTCCAGCACACAGAAATATTTTCAGATGCTTGTCCAAAGGTTTCTCACCTTTGTAAGGTTTCTCACTAAGTCTGAAAAAGTGGACTGAATATTTCATTCAAACAATTTTTTTTTCTTTGGGATTTCGTGTACTGACAGTCTCAGGGCAAGCCTAAAATACTATAAGAAGAGCCTGTTTCCTCAATATTATGTCACTGATACCGCTTTCCTACTCATAACCTGGAAATTCAGAGCATCACAAACTGAACCTTGGGTTAATTTTTTTTTTAAATTTTAAGTGCAGCTCAAGTCCTGATATTGGGCTATATAATCTGTTGCAAAGGGCTCAGGAAAAACAGGTTAGTGCTTTCTCACTGTTTTAAAACATCCCAATTAAACCTTTTAATAGCATGTTTGCACCATTACAGGGAAACCATGATTTCCAACTGCCCAAGTTATAACCCTCCCCCACCACACACACTTACAACCATTTTTGTTAGTGTGGAAGGGACAAAAACCTCTGACTTACATCCTTGGCTCTGCATTTATGATGGCTCATGGCACCTATCGTAAATGAGATTTCAAGTTATGACACCCCTGACTTGCGATGCTTCCCTGGGAACCAATCACGTCTCAAGCCAGGGGCCGCCTGTATTGTCAACTTCATTTGAGGAAAATCTGGAGGGGTGGATATTCTCCAATTTTAAATATGTAATGGCTATTTTGTGAGACCGCTACTTCTGCTGACTTAAAAGCTGAGAAAATAAGTAAGTCACTGAGAGAAAATTAAAACTACAGGCATTCCATAAAGCTTTTGCTTTTAATTGTTTGTTTTGCTTTAGTAAACTTTGAATATAATCAATCTTGTAGGAAGGGTAATGAAGAGCAGCCACTTGGATCCATATTTTTTGATAACACGCTTTCAGGCAAGACAATTTCATAGCTGAAAAATTAGTACAGCTTTAGAATATAGACTGAAGGGGATCTAGAATGTCAAACCTGTTCTCAATCTCATGACATTTTAAATTAGAAGCACAAATCCCATTTAAACAAACTGTTATCACCTTAAGACATAAAATGTCAACTAAAAACAGAAACTCTTCCTCTCATCAAATATTCCACATTGATGCAAGGCTCAGTTGTACACAGCACACTGATCTTTAAACATGAATTCATTTGTTGAAATTAACTCTGAAAAGCTAATGAAAAAAGCTGGTCATAATCACAAATGATACATCACATCATTACAATTACAAATAGTAAATTATTCAAACAACCTTTTAATATGTTTTTGACTGGTTCTTCACAGAAATTCCTTTAGCTCAATTTACTTTTAGCATTTTACAAACACAGGAGTCTGGAATATAGAACCCATTTTCACAACTAAAAGGCCAATGCATTTTGGCAGTATAACATTCCACTGCACCATCTAACGCCATCAGCTAAGCTTACAGCTAGTCTTCTTCTCATGAAAATATCTCAGAAAAACTATCGAGTGAAGCTGTGGAATAATGTAACTATTTGTGGCTCTGATTTCTATTTTCCTTCTGCTTTGTTAATTAAATATACTCTTTTGACATAAAATGCATGCTCATGCTTGAATTTTGTTTGTATTAAGAATTAGCTATTGCTGTTCAATGATTGAGACAGACTCTCACTGTAAATTAAAAGTTTAAAATATTGTACATGACTGTTCACAAACACACACACACACTCAAAAAAACCCACAAAAGGAATAATTTGACATTATCACATATTCTTAGACTATCTAGGTTACAAAAAGACTTTCATATATTTTCATAGAATCACAGAATAATAGAACTGGAAGGAATCTCTAGAGATCATCAAGTTCAGTTCCCTGCCTTCCCAGCAGGCACAAGTACCATCTAGATCATCCCTGATAGATATCTATCCAACATGCTCTTAAATATCTCCAGTGATGGAGATTCCACAATCTCCTTAAGCAATTTATTCCAGTGTTTAACCACCCTGACAGTTTGGACATTAGGAAACATTTCCTATCTAAATCTCCCTTGCTGCAATTTAAGCCAATTGCTTCTCGTCCCATCATCAGAAGCCAAGGAGAACAATTTTTTTCTTCCTCCTCCTTGTAACTCCCTTTTAGATACTTGATAACTGCTACCATGTCCCCTCTCAGTCTTCTCTTTTCTGAACTAAACAAGCCCAGTTCTTCCAGTCTTCCTTCATAGCTCATGTTTTCTAAGCATTAAACATTTTCCTTGCTCTTCTCTGGAACTTCTCCAGTTTTACCATATCTTTCTTGAAATGTGGTGCCCAGAACTATACACAATACTCCAACTGAGGCCTAATCAGTGCAGAGTAGAGCAGAAGAATGACTTCTCATTTCTTGCTCACAGCACTCCTTTTAATGCATCCCAGAATCATGTTTGCTTTTTTTGCAACAGAGTCACACCACTGACTCATATTTAGCTTGTGGTTCACTATGACCCCTAGATCCCTTCCTTCAGTACTCCTTCCTAGACAGTCATTTCCCATTCTGTATGTATGAAATTGATTGTTCCTTCCTAATTGGAGTGCTTTGCATTTGTCTTTATTAAACTTACACCTATTTACCTCAGACCATTTCTCTAGTTCGTCCAGATCATTTTGAACTATAACCCTATCCTCCAAAACAGTTGCAGCTTGTTATCATCTGCAAATATAATTGAGATGATACAATCCATCGATGGTGGCTTTTGATTTTTAAAATAACGTATTCTCATCAAAACATACATTTTGTATTGTGGTATCTTTGCAAGGAATGTTATATACCATTTCACTATAAAACAGTGATACCTTTTCTTAAAGTTATTAGCATCTCACAGACATAAAAATAACACTTGATGCCAAATCTTCAATGGGTGTAAATTGGCATATGTTCATGAACTTCAACAGAGCTGTGCTGATATACCCCCAACTGATTCTCTAGTATTTGTGGCCCAGGGTATTTTAGTTAGGCTTCCTTCTGATCTGTATATCACTTTTGAACACAAACTGAACTTTACTATCTGATCTGTATAGTGTACTATGGATTTTTTTTCATCTTTCATTCTGCAAGAACTGTTATCAAGTAGGTATGATACTGGATAAATTAATCAATAATAGTTTGGATCAGCAGATTTCTCACATGTAATGGTGATGTCCTTAAGACTGGGGGATATGATATGGTAAAAAAAATGTGAGCAGTCCTCAAAGTGGTGGGGAAAGTTACAAAGGAAAATTTGTCTGACTTCTGCAGCAATGATTCCTTATCTCTTGCTTAGGCTAGAGCTTGACAAACGAACTAGCACAATGTTTTTCCTCCATGGTAGGTAAATGGTTTTATACACACATTTTGAGAAGGGCCAAACAATATATATACTGCTACTTCACAATATGAAACAGTGAATAAAACATTTATGATGTAGCCTGAATTGTTGTCTATCCACACGGAGGGCCTGTTTTTCCAGAAAATTGAGTCTTTACTAGTTCTATACTGAGATCAAGTGATATGTAGGGAAGCAAATATGAGAAGGAATACAAGTACTGCTCCAGAGTATGTCTTATTTTTTAAACAGGCTCTAATTGTGCAATCTAGCCTTGCACCAATATAGCGGTATAGGTTGCATAATCCTGTCATATAGAAGTAAAGTGCGTAGAATATCTATTCTAATGTGTGACACTTCCCCCTGCTCATTTAGTTATAATGTAAACTGAGAAAAAGGTGTATGGTCCATTGTGCAAGGTAAGGCTTATGCACTTCAATGAGTGGGCTGGAATGTAAGGTGACCAGATGTCCAGTTTTTAAAATGTATTTAAGCCGTTCTACAGGTTTCCCAAATTTTTTTGAAAAATGGACAAATTGTCCTTTATTTTCTGTCTCTCCTCTCCCTTCAGTACTGTTGGGTCCTGCTGCTGATCAGATCCTTGCTCACCCTCTGCCAACCCACCAGAGGTGAGTGTATGAATGTGCATGCAGGGGGGGTTCAGTGACTGGTGATGGAGTTGGGAATGAAAGGCTGGTGGTTGGGCAGAGATGCAGCATGCAGGGCCAGCTGCTCCCTGTGCTGGTCCATCAGTGCAGTCCCTGCTGTGTGCCTCTTCTTGGCCAGCAAGTCCCCTTTGCCCCTCGTCCCATTTCCACTAGATACTAGCTAGTTGTGGCAATGGCTGATGAGTGTGGACAGGCAGTGGCTAGTTACCTATCACCTCTGCTGCCCACTCATTGACCCTTTACACGTCTCCCCTCTCACTACCCTCCCCTTGCTTTGCCAGTTCACTCCCTCAGCCCTGCTATTCCTCCATTCTCTTCCCAGTGGGGTGTGCCCCACTCATGGCACTGTGCAAAGAAAAAAACCTGGTCAGATAATTTAGCTCAACAACAGCCTGGCTGGAAGGCTCCTTCCTTCCCCCACTGGCTCCAACTGGGCTGGCATCCAGGGAAAGCTCAAGACCAATCAGCCCAGGGTGATGTCTAGGAAGAGCCCAGCATGTGCCAAAATGCTGCACAGCACTGACATAGGGAAGCTTTTCTGCCCCTCAGATAAGTTCTGCAGTGTCAGGGAGGAAGCTACTTTCAGCCATTTGCACGTAACCCTGCAGGCTCCACAACAGCCCCCTAGGCAAGGGCATAGCACCCTCTTCACCCTCTGCCCCTGACCTAGATCCTGCTCTGGGGAATGCTCTGTTCCCTAAGCATCCTCCCCTAGTGAGCCACCTCTCTGGCCATGTTTGCTGAAGCCCTGTGGGTCCTCAGTCCTGAAGTACAAGGCATCCGTAGGGCTTAACTCCTTCCTGCCTGTGCTTTAGCCAGGGAACAGGAGGTAGCTGGTTTATGTCAGTGACCAGTAGCAGCTTGGAGATGTTAGTTGCCTTTCAACACTGTGCAGGCAGGAAGGGACAAGCTGACGCTAGATACAGGGAGAGAGATGGGGAGAGGCAGGAGGGAAGAGATGAGCTCAAAAACACAGGCCAGATCATCCCTACACCTCACCCCCATCTCCCTACAGCAGAAAGCAGCTCCCATCCCTTCTTTCCCACACAGTGCCGAAAGGCTCCTGCTGGCTATGCTCTGGTGTGAGCCCTGACAGAAATCTGTGGAGAGGGCTATAATCCTGCATTCCCTTTACATGTTGTTTTGAGAGAGACAGGGGTCCAGTCAGGTATGGAATGTGGAGAGCCCTGTGAAGGGATGTTTGGTCATGTCTGTCAGTCAGCCCCAACCCCATGTGAGAAAGATGTAGGGAATGTGTGCATGTCACTTCTCCCCATGCAAATGTTAAAGATAATAAGGTAAACAAAAAGGACTCCAGCTGTCCCGCATTCTTTGTAAAAGGGGCTCAATCAACTTGATGTTAAGAACTGGAACATTTATATTTCAGTAGTAATCAATCAGAACTATGAACTCACTTGAATGTCAATAATTTTATGAGGTGTCTTGTACACAGCATAGGGAAATACGTTCACACTACATACATTGTATGGTGGGATTGGGAACTTTTTATGGATCGGGGATTGCTGATTTGGCTGCCTCACTGATTTGGCTCCCGACTGAGAAGGAAAAAGACACTCCCCACATATCCCTCACATGCTAGAGCCGGGGGGCGGGGAGGATGGAGAGAAGCAGGGCAGGCTAGTAGATTTTATCTTCTCCAGTTCCATAGAGGTGGGGGGAGAGGACTGGTTCACCATCACGGGCTCCCCAAAGCTGGGGGAGGAGCTCCAAGCCTCAGGCCAGATCCAGGCAAGCCAGGGTCTGCATCCATCCCCTGAGCTTTAGGATCTCCACCCCTGTAATATGACTTCATTTCAAAGATGGACCAGGTCTTGTATTGTAAGAGTATGAAGAGCTGATCCTGTCTCCATTGAAGTTATGTGAGTTTTCCCATTGACCTCAGTCGCAGTAGGACAGGTCTCTGAGTGTTTATTTTAATGAATACAACTTAGAACAAACTTAGATTATAGTTCCACACCATAGGCCTGATCTTGTACTCATTAAAATCAGTGAGAGCTTTGTCATTGACCTTGAAAGGAGCATTTGGGATCCTGCATTCCCTTCCTTAAAGTACAATTCTTCCTGTCTTTCGGTTTATTTCAGAATGTGGCAAAATTCTGTGTGTTATTTTCATGTACTGATACAAATTTCCATTTGACAGAAAATAAGGTAGTCTTTTTTTTTTTTTTTTTTTTTTTTAAGTTCTCCAGGAAATGATCCTGTGTTGACCTAGTAAACTGTAAGTACTCTTGCCATAGTTAGCAGATATAAACTAAATGTTTATGAAGATCATATACTTTTTTGGTACTAGAAGACATTCAATAAATGAAGAATTACTCCATCATTCAACAATAGGTTAAATGATTCATTATTCATTTAAATATTTGAATCATGCCTTCATCCAAATGTATTTTCAGCAGCAGGTTTATGATTATGATCCAGAATTTCACTAATAAATACTTCTTTGAGTACTGTTAAAGTTTAGAAATGTTCATAGAGTAAATGCCAACTTGCTGTTTTTGTATCCATGGCTAACTTACTCCCAGAGTGGCTAATTATTGAAGAATATGTGCTCATTAAATATTCTTCCCACAAGCCATTTCCTCCTCCTGCTGATTTGTACTAAAAGGCTTTTTTGGGGTTATAATCCTCTGTTTGCTCTATCACAATTTGTTGCTGTGGAAATAGTTATGATGATTAGAACTTCTTAGGATTGAGAAACAGGATAGAAAGGTCAGTTGTCAGAGCAAAGCAATCCCTTTGGCCTATCAAAAGTTAGAATATCCTAAACATGGGATATCCATTCAATGTTTAGTTTGCAAAGAATAGCCAACTTTGAAATTAATTTGTTAATATTCAAAACATGTGTGAGTGTATAAAGGTTTACAGTCCTCGTGTGTGTGTATGGAGGGGAAGCATCTTGATGTTAGTAAGGCTTTTGATATAGTCCTCATGACATTCTCATAAAGGAACTAGGAAAATGTGGTCCACTGGAGGAGGGGCAGGCTGTTTGTAGGCATGGGGGGGAGCAATTGGAGGAGGGGATAGCCACCCAGATCCTAGCCCATCCAGGCAGCCTGTGGGCCATGGGGGGGGGGAGGGCTGCTGGAGGCTGGGGGCAGTCCTCAGAGTGTCACACCCAGCACAACAGCCTGCAGGCTGTGGGGGGAGGCCCTATAGGCTAGGGGCAGCCCCTGAAATCTTGCTTTCACAGACAGGAAGCGGTGAGGGGGTGCACTGAAGAGGAGGGCAGCCCCTAGAACCTGTCCTCAAAGAAAGCCTACAGGCTCATGATTCTATATATTTTGGTTGGTATCTAAGGTCTCACAGGACCATTCATTGTTTTTAAAGTTGAAGACTAACATGGCTGCCTCTGTGAGAATTATTGAATTAAGTTCAACCTTCTTGAATTAGGGTGCTTTATATTAAAAACGCCACAGTGTACATGTTGTTTTGGCACAGCATAAACCTTCTCTAGTGGGGAGCGGAATGCTAACGTTCTAGCTCCATTACCAACCCTTTATAGCCTTCCCCCTAGAGATGCTTTCATATATTAATTCAAACTGGATTCTCCAGGGACAAAGAAAGGGATTTTGGATAAATAGCTTGGTTTTAAACTTGGACTTCTTCCTGATGCAACAAATGGACAGGACCTCTGTGCCATAGAGAAGCCCAATTCTTTTGATAGGGTTGTAAGAACTGGGCCTACTTAGGCCACATAATGGAGCGCTTGTCTTGAGCAAAAGCTGTGATGAATTTGCAACCACAAGGAATCACCTTTGGATGGGGCTTTGAAGGACTTCTCCAACCCATATTATGTTTGGCGTTAACGTTGGCAAACTTATTAGCATATGTGTAAGATCTGAATGCTTTTAATATGTTTCTCTGTAATGCTTCTAACCTTAGTAATAAAGTAGACTTGCACAGGAAGTACTGTATGAGTAACTTGTCAGAGTAGCAATTACAGCTCTCATCACTGAAGAAAATGCAGGTAGGTATCCATGGGTAAACTGTGCAGAAAATAACACAGTGAAAGAAGGAAACTATGCAGCCTAGAAATATCCCTGGTCAGAAGAGAGAGATAAATCTCTATTAAGAAAAACAATGAGTGGAAAGCTGAAAACCTGAAAGCAGGTGCCGTTGGCCAGATCACTGAGGAGAATTTCAGCTACACCTGCTCTGAACGGTGACAGTTGCAATAGGCTTACAATGTAGCAAGAGAGACTTAAATTTGATATTAGGAAAAACTTTGCAAATATAAAGATAGCGAAGAGCTGGAATAGAATTCCAAGGGAAGTTGTGGAATCCCTATCACTGAAACTTTTTAAGAAAAGACTGGAAAAAACACCTATCAGTGATGGTCTAGTTATTCTTGGATACACACTCCCAAGTGAAGATGATGGGCTTGATGACCTCTTGAGGTCCCTTTCAGGCCTACATTTTATGATTCTAAGATTCTGTATGTGCTATATATTTGAGAGTTTGTCTGTGCATCTGTGTGTGTGTGCATCTGTTTGTCTGCCTGCCTGTCTGTGTGTCTCTTTGTTCAAGAACTCCAAAACGGCAAGAGCAATTTGGTATTCATCTTTTTTTTTAGCATAACTTAAACCAAAGTAAGCTTTTGGTTATGCCAGGAAAAAGGAATGTGCCCAGAATAGGATTGCTTCTCATTGTCTTACTATATATTTCATAAATGTGCGTGTATCTGCCTGTCTGTCCGTCTGCAAATCCATTTGTTAAGAAGTTTTAAGAACTTCTCCTAAACAGCAAGAGCTAGAGCCATCAAATTTGGTATGCAGTTTTCTCTTATCATGACTTAAAGCAAAGCCAAGGTTTGATTGTGCCAGGGTAATGGGATGTGTATAGAATGTAATTGTTTCTCATAAAATGGAAAGTATGGAGTCTGGCAGGAGAGACAGTTATACTTCAGAATGACCACAGGAGTGCAGCAAGGGGCCAAAGAGGGGACCAGGACAGCTATAACCCCTTTGGGCCAGCAAGGGGAAATAGGGGAGAAAGGGACAGCTATCTACTATATATTTCAGAAAGTTTGTGTCTGCTGCCCCCCAGCCAGAGAGCATGCACCCCTCCCCCAGGTGTGCCTGCTGATCTGCAGTGGCTAAGGAGAGGCACTTCTCATCTGGCCCCAGTCTGTTATGGTAAGAAAGGGCTGGGTTGTTCTGAGACAGATTTCTGTTACCAATCTCCCTAAGGCATCAGGTGATCGGTTTGAAGCCACAGGATGTAAGGGAGGAGATGACGGAACACACCAAGTGTCTAAGTTTTAAAGCTTTATTGATAAAATAATAAAATAACAGCGGAGAGTGGTGGGTGCTTCCCACGTCACTCAGAGGAAGGAAGAAAGTGTTAGTGCCCTGAGTCCTAACCTACTTTCATACTCATACACTCACTATCTGAGGCTGGCCAGGCCTGGGTGTAATGACAGAAGAAGAGGGGGAAGGGTGGACGGGAGTTCGGTCCTGAGCACACAGGTCATTCAGGGTCTGCTGTGATCTCTCCAAATTGCTCCAGCTCTCAAGAGGATTTGAAGTCCTGGGCTCCTTTGGGGGTGTTCCATTCCATGACCTCTGGTCTTGGTGCTCTTTTTGACAGTCCAAACCGGCTTTCTGTGGTCTCCTCGACTTTCTCCAAAACACACCGGCTAGACTCTCTTTGCTTTTCTCCATACTGGCCTTCACTTGTCTTGCTTGTTATGGGCTGGCTCTGCAGATTGGTTCAGATGAATGTCTTTCTTATGGCTGGTTCGTAGATTCCAGGCCCCCCCTCTTTCTTGTCTGGCAGCCGAGAGTCCGATGTGTGCTGTGGCCTTGAGCTGGCTGGAGCCAAAGTCTTATCTTTGGGCCTAGCAGAAGTGTGGAGTTAACCCATTCTCTGCTCTCTTCATTTCCTCCCCTTGGCCTCTCGCGACCTGCAAAGGAATCCTTCATTCATTCTACTCTCACACCTTTGACCCTTCCCAAAATGCCCTGCAATGCTTGCAACAGCATTAGCAATATACAATGCTGACCTGCCTCCCTAGAGGTACCCCTTGAGGGAGGGGGACGTAGGGTTGTCACAATCCTCTCTCCCTGATGCAGTCTGAATACTGAACCCTGCATCAGATAGCTGCAGTGGCACAGGAGCCAAGCAAACAGGGGAGTTTGAGTGGGTGTTCTGTTGGAGGTGAAGGGCAGTGTGCTGGTGATCAGTTATTGGGATAGCGTCGCAAGTCAGGGGCATCGTAACTCGAGCCCGCATTCATGACAGGTGTCGTGTGCCATCGTAAATGTGGGGCCAAGGTTGTAAATTGGGGGATTTCGGCTCCTTCCGCACTTACGGAAAAGGTCATTAGTGTGGGGGGTTGTAAATTGGGCCATTGTAAAGCGGGGGCCTCCTGCAATGGCTATTCTTGCTGTTGCCAAAATTTCATCGAACTGTATCCTGACTTCAGTAAGAGCAGAAAGGGACTCTGTACTTGATGCCATTTTAAATTTGCATTTTAAAATATTCTAAGGGTTTGTAAGGGGAGTTTGGATATTGAACATGTTTGGAGTTTGTTTTTGCTGTGGAGGGGGTGTTTTGGTCTGTTTTTCTGTTCACCAGACTAATAGGATTTTGGTGAGAAAGTAGATAAAACACAGAGGCAGTAGTGGCCATGGCCCAAGTAGTAGAGAACACAAAGAGGATGATTGGATGTGGTAGCTGCGGTATGTACATGATTTTGGAGGGGGTACCTGAAAGGAGTTTTGTTTGTATGAAGTGCCACCTGATAGAGCCGATGGAAGAAAAGATCCGAGGACTGGAGATGCAGGTGGAAACTCTGGTCGAGTTTAGAAGGGGGTTTGAGCAGATGATGGGGCAAAGGCATGACGTGTCTGAAGGGGAAAGCTTAGATATGCAGATGGAAGCAGGATCAAGGGCCTCAGAGGGGGGACTGCTGGGCGAAGAAAATGGACAGTGGAAGCATGTGACTCAGAGAACGAGGCAGAGGAAAAGATGAGTCAGTGAAGGAAAAATAGAGCTCAAGAACAGGTATGTGGAGCTGGACAATGAAGAAGGGGTACAGCAGGTAGATAATGAAGATGGAAGGGTAAGGAAGAAGAGAAGAGTGGCTAGTCCCATAGATAAAGGGGAAGACTTAATGGAGACAACACCAATAATGAGCATTAGGA